AAAAATATTTTCAATTTCAACAATTATTTTCTACTCTAGTAAAAATAAAAGAAATTTTTCAAAAACATTTTTCATTCATAAATCAAACACTAAAAATCTTTTTCGGAAAATATTTTCTACTCACCAACCAAACATGAGAAAATAAGTCAAAAATCAACTTGTTTTCCAAGAAAACATTTTCTAGGAAAACATTTTCCTTCATACCAAACACACTCTACAAGTTGACTGCTCTTTGGAATTATGCATCTAGATCTTTATTCCTTTCCCGTGAAGAAGGGTTTGGGATGTTCCAAATTCCAATTTAACTGTTCTGTGGAAAAATGAGATGGTCAATTTTAGACTGCTCTGCTCTCTATAAGAAAATGTCTTTCATATTCATTAACAATCTGATTAACATATTGTCCAAAATATGGTTGTTTTTGCCTCTCTCAAATACTTCTTTCTTATCCCTTTAGTCACTTCACTCTCCTTCAATTTTGATACTTTTACACCCAATGATCACAATGTAACCTATGAGAGAGATGCTTCTCCACAAAATGGTGCAATTCTACTCACCACAAACCTCCTCAATCGCAATATCAATGCTAGTATAGGTCGAGCTATTATTCAAAACCACTCCATCTATGGGACAAGGCCTCTCGAAATCTCACTGATTTCACTACACATTTCTCCTTTAGCATTAATTCACAGGGAAGAGCTGAATATGGTGATGGTTTTGCCTTCTTCCTTGCCCCTGCAGGTTCAACAATTCCTTATAATACAACAAGAGGTGGAAGCCTTGGCCTTACAAGTAATAATGAGCGACTAAATTCATCCAGTAATCATTTTGTTGCTGTGGAGTTTGACACCTATCAGAACCTGTATGACCCAAAGGGTGATCATGTAGGTGTCGATATCAACTCTATGCAATCTGTTGTTAATGTGACTTGGTTTAGTAGCATTCCAAATGGTACGAAAACTGATGCCTGGATTACTTATAATTCTAACTCAAAAAATCTTACTGTTGTCTTCACTGGTTTTCAACTCCAGTCTCCAAGGGAATAATATCACAGTCACTGTCCTGCAGAACCTATCTTACAATCTTGATCTGAGGGAATATTTACCAGAATGGGTCACTTTTGGCTTCACTGGTGGAGGAGGAAATAGCTTTGCATTTCAAAGAATCTATTCTTGGAATTTTACTTCTTCTTTAGATAATATGACAGATACAGGGGTAACCTTATCAAACACCAAGCCAAAGGATGCACCAATAAAAAGTAAGTTAGGACTTGTGGTTGGATTGATTTCTGGTGGTTGTGTTTTGGTTGCAGTATGTGCTTTGGTGTTGTTTGCATTTTGGAGAAAGAGTAAGGTCAGAGAAGATGATCATGTCTTTGATGGTTCCATGACTAATGAATTTCAAAAAAGTGCAGGACCAAAGAAGTTCTGGTACAGTGAGTTGGCTAGATGTACAAATAACTTTTCACAGGAAGAGATGCTTGGGTGGGGGGGATTCGGAGGTGTTTATAAAGGATATCTCAGTGAATCCAACTCTTATATTGCTGTTAAGAGGGTTTCAAGGGAATCACAGCAAGGAATAAAAGAGTATGTATCAGAAGTCAGGATCGTCAGCAGGTTAAGACATAAACATTTGGTGCAACTCATTGGTTGGTGCCATCAAAAAAGAGAACTTCTACTTGTCTATGAGTTTATGCCTAATGGGAGCTTAGACCACCATCTTTTCAAGGGAAAAAGCCATTTGACATGGCCAATAAGATTCAAGATTGCTCAAGGCTTGGCCTCGGCGTTGCTATATCTACATGAAGAATGGGAACAATGTGTGGTGCATAGGGATATAAAGTCTAGCAATATTATGTTGGATTGTAATTTCAATGCCAAGCTTGGGGATTTTGGGTTAGCTAGGCTAGTTGACCATGATAAGGGATCCCAAACAACAGTTTTGGCAGGCACAATGGGTTACATGGCTCCTGAATGTGTCACCACTGGCAAAGCTAACAAGGAAACAGACGTCTATAGCTTTGGTATTGTCGTGTTAGAAATAGGTTGTGGAAGGAAACCTATTGATCCTAAAGCAGAGGAGCATCAAGTAAACATTGTCGATTGGGTTTGGAGACTTTATGGGATGAGAAATATTCTTGAAGCAGTTGATCCGAAACTATCATCAGAGTTCAATGAAGAGGAGATGGAGCATTTGCTAATTGTTGGCTTATGGTGTGCTCATCCAGATAGTAATTGCAGGCCTTCTATTAGGCAAGCAGTTCAAGTGCTTAATTTTGAAGCTCCATTACCCACACTCCCTCGGAACATGCCTGTGCCCACATATTGCAGCTTCTCACACCATTTACCAACTATTTCACTTTCATCAACACATGAAACCAACGGTACAGAGATCGCCCTTGCCCAAATCCAGCATTCAGTAAACGAAAACAACATTGATGCTTCATTAAAAAGAACATTTTCTTCAGCATCTTCATCTTCAACATCAGTTTTGTATCCAAGTTAATATTGCCCTGTTAAGATCCTGCATTTTGTCTTCCATTAGCAGTGTCCATCTTTTCCTTTCTTACTTTTTGTTGTTTCTCTTCTAATGAAAGAGGATTGAATGGATTACATTTTCTGTAATTTTAACTGTTCTATCAAACACTGATAACGCTATGCTTTTTAAGGACATGTCTCAAGAATTACTCAATTCCAAATTCAATCTGGATTAGAAGGCGAATTTGAGTAACAAGAAATCTATCAGTCATAGTCTTTATTCTAGAACGATCCATCTGAAAGAATTCATTAAAGCTTAGAGCATGTGATATTCTTTATCAAAATGTTGGTAGACATGATCAGTCGCTTTATTGCAGTCTGGACAGGACAAGAAGTTTGATTTGTCTACTTGTCTCGTGCAACATTTATTTCCTCCCACAAAGTAGATTAAATGACACTAAGTACATTCAAAAAGTGTAATTCTGTAACTATAATTAGAATCTGAAAACTAATCAGAGAAAAGAACTGCTTAAAAGAACAGGCTAATATCAAGTTTAATATGTGGCCACCTTCTGATAAAGTTGTGCAGATGTTCAGAAAGATATCTACATGACCATATAGAGTATTTGTCTCTTCGTATCTTTTGTACCTATGTTCTGCCAATAGGGTAAAAGTTTGGACCCAAAATAACCACTTTTCCCAAGTGCTTCCTCCCATTAAGATGTGCAGCCATATCAATCTCACCAGAGCATCTAACGTTACAAAAACCACACCATAGCCTAGAATTGTGTGTAGCACCATCGGAATTCATCACTTGCTTCAGCTTTTCATGTGGTCCAGTAGCTACTAGTTCAATCTTTTCTTTAGGTTTTTCATTAGGACCGTGTTTTTCTTGTACTGGAAATGTCATTTCCTTGACCTGCATGCCTGCTGTATTCTTCGCGATCCAAATTAGATTTCCCTTCAGGCGTTTGACCTGCAGTACCACAGGGACATTTTAATAGCTGGCATACTGATTACTTTTGATTGCTTATATAAAACAAGCACTAGAATAGCATAAATGTGGTACTGATGTTTAAAAAAATTAAGAGCTTCAATAATCTCCCAGGCTTCAAATGTGCAGGACAAACAAAGGCTTGAGATCATACTAAGATAACTGAATCTAGTGCAAACTTCAAAAAGCATTGATTATTCAAAGTGCAACAGTTTCTGTTTCAGGTTGCTTGATGATTCTTTTAGCATAGACAAAGTTTCTTCTTGGTCTAAATGATAATGAACTTAGTACCAGTGTGCGTAATCAATTGCCATCTTGCTCATTCAGCTTATCTGATGAACCTTAATTTTTTGCCTTCATATACAGTTAAGGTTTATCTTGCACTCTTCCTAACTTGGCCACTAGTAGCATCACTAGAACCTAATTGTTGGAGCATCAAGCTCTCCTCTAGTCATCGATCACACCTAGCAGCTTGGTTAACATTTTCATCTATGGTTTGCTTGACAAATTGCATCCATAGCAATACTTGTGAACACATAATATTCCATAAAAGTAACAATGTAATTTTTTTTGGGCTCAGCTGCTTTATGTTTTGCCATCTGTTCCATAGATTTGGTGTCTTCACAAACAGGACCACCCTCTTCGCGCACTATCTGTTTAGGGGGACTATGATTTTTATAGGGGATTTGTAAGGAATGATATCAAGTGAAGATGAAATGATTTTCATTAACCGCCCAAAAGGGATAAGAATGGGGTTTATTCTTAATTAAGGAAAACTCATAATTTTTAATGCTTTATATAAGACAAGTTATAGCTGCATAGTTTATGGGTTGGAAGGTACACTGCATCTACTCAGAGGAAGCATTTCATAAGTTTGCTGGAAATTAGAAAATCTCATAAGTTAGTGCATCATGTACTAATTACACTATGCAAGACATTCAATTAGTACTCGAGTGATAATGTAGTTTTCAGATTTATTATGAAGTAAAAACGCCAAAAGCAGCAGCATAAGAAGTTAACGACTATTTCATACATTATAGGGAGTCAGGAACAACAGCAAGTGTGACTGGTTTCGGTTTCTCCAGAGGCTTAATAGAAAAGATACCTGGCTGGGGGTGAGTACTCCCGCTTTATCACAAGTGTCAGTAGCCTGGATCCGTTCTGCCTTGGACTGCAAACAGGAGATAATGATAGGTACACTGACAATGAGTGTTGGGAAGAATCAATTCGATAAAAATTGGCTACTCATTGCTGAGGTAACATCTGATATACCTTGTTTGTAATAAGTTTCTCCTGAGCATCAGATCCATTCTCTTCAAGGTACCTCTCTGCCACAGCCATAGAACTCATAGATAATTGGTGTTTGGCCAAGTGCTCCATCCCATCAAGATGTGCAGCCATAGCAATCTCCCCAGGGCACCACAGCTTAGAATTATGAACAGCAATATCAGCATTCTTCAGTTGCTTTTGATTTTCTTGCTGATCAACACCTGCTAGGTGGACCGTTTCTTCCAATTTTTCATTATTGCTGTGCTCTGATTGTGCTGCGGCTACATGTCTTGCTGGTTCCTGATTAAGCTGGATTGTCTGCTTTGTTGGAACCTCCGTTTCCTTGACCTGCATTCCTATCGTTTTCTTCTCACTCCAAATTAGATTTTCCCTCGCACTTCTAACCTGCAGTTACACAGGGAACATTTTAGTCACTGGTATATGGATTAGTTTTGATTGATTATAGAAGAATTAGGCAGAATAAATGTGTTACTGATGTTTACAAAAAAAAAATGAGCTTCAACTCTTTCCCCTTTTAGTGGCTTCAAATGTTCTCAGGAGAAATAAACACTTGAGAGCATACAAAGATAGATGAATCTAGTGCGAACTGCAAACTTCAAAAGCGATAAATTTTACCAAGTCTGCCAGCTTCAGTTTCAGGTTGTTCGGTGATTCTTTTTAGCATTATACAAAGTTTCTTCATGGTCTAAATGAGCACTTGATCTCAGTGTGTATTATCAATTGCCATCTTGCACAATTACATTGATTGATGAGCCTAATTTTGCCTTCATTTAGAGTTAATTCTTAATATTCATTTAGCACTCTTCCTCACTTGACCACCAGAAGTATCAGTAGCAGCTAATTAGCTTTTCACATGGGATTTCAAGCTCTCTCCTTGTAATCAATCATCACTAATCAGATTGATTAATGTTTCACCTATTGTTTGCTGAAAAATTGCATCTAGAGATTTACTTGTGAACCCATAAATCATAATATTCCAAAAAAGTAACCAAGGAAATTCAAGGGTTGAAAATTACAACCTGTTTGGGTTGAGCTGCTTCATATTTTGCCATGTGTTCCATCGGTTTGATATTTTGCCAAACAGGACAAGCCCCTTCACACAGTGTCTGTTGTTGTTATTTTTGGATAATGTATCAAAAATTTCATTAGAAATCAGTACCAAGAAGCTAGTAAGAAGTACAAATCAAGGAAAATTACAATTCTCCATTATGCTCCATCTATCCAAAAAATGTCATGCCATTTACCATATGACCCTTATACATGTCTGTTTTGGGGCACTATGGTTGTTATTTACCAGATTTTAAGGAATGAAAGGAAAATCTGTTTCATGACAAATCATTTTTACTACAAAATCTGTTACAAACAATGGAAAATGCACTCTTTCATGCTTTATTTTAGTAAACTGATAGCTGCATAATCTTTACACAACCTATTCCTCATGTACATTCAATAATTTATTAGTTGGAAGGGACACTGCATGCATGTCTGCATCTATGCAAACATAGCATTCCTTCGGGTTTTTTTTTTAAAAAAAAAATCCAGGAAAAATCCTGGAAGTGTTGTATACCAATTATGAAACACAGACATAGGGCAGACAGACCTGACCCCTGGCAACAAAGCATTCCTGAATTTGTTGGAAATAAGCTTCAAAAAATAGTGCATGATTGCATAAACATGCACACTATTCAATCCAAACTAAAACTGCTAGCTGATGCCACTTTCTTTTTCATTATTGAGTGAAAATGCATATAAAGCAGCACCACAAGAAGTTAAAAATTGTTTCATACAGTACAGGGAGCTCGGAACAACAGTTGAAGCACCTGGTTGGGGATAAGTGTTCCTGCTTCCACACTAGTATCAGTAGTCTTGATCTCTTCTGCATGATGATTCAAATTATTATCCTTGCACTGAAAATAGGACATCATGATAAGTACACCGATAGTAAAGCCCAAAGTTGCAATAAAATCCAGTGGAATGTATACATTTGCTTATGTAATGTTGGGAATCTAACTTTTGGCGACTGAAATGGATTAAAAATCTTAATTCTCATATAACTAGCTGATGTACATACAAGTGTGTGTCCAGTTTAGTAATGTACTGGCTACTCAATGCTGAAGTAACATCTGACATACCTTGTTTGCAATAAGTTTCAACAAAGCATCAGATCCATTTTCTTCAAGATACCTCTCTGCTGTAGTCAGAAATGATACATTCTTGAGAGATGGATCCTCCATTGGCTTGTTCAACCAGTCAGCCACAATTTGAAGGTTGACAGACAAACATACATACAGAAAGCGTTGGTAAACATAACAAAACCCATAAAACTGAGTGATAACATCATGCAGTTTCACCAGCAAACATGGATGAATAAGTTTTTGATAAAGATAACACGCGCCATCAAACTGCGGTATCACCAACCAACATATGGTTATTAATTTAATATATGGCCACAGAGGAACCCTGCCAAAGTAAATGGAAGGACATTAGAATACTATTCAACATGAGTTGTTTCTATCTATTATTTTTTTTTGGATTTCCTACCCGGTGTCTGGAGCCCACATTGGAGCTCCAGCTAAATCTGGATCGCGCAGTGCAGTGCCTATTCGAAGGTGGCACTCCCAACAAGATTTTCTCCATACCCACTACCCAGTGCTCGAACCCGAAACTTCTGGTTAAGGGAAGCAGTTCCACCACTGCACTATAATCCATGTTGGTGGAGTTGTTTCTCATGTTCAACCACGAATATTGTACAATTTTCCCCAAAATGCTTCAACAAAATCTTGAAATCCTCAACTTCTCAGCAAGGCAATTTAAGAAATAGAAGCAAGAACAGACATATAACTTGAAATAAGTGTGTCATAAGAACCACCAAGGGATGTGGTCCTCCCTTAACCACTTGGTCTTGGGTTCGGGCCCTAGTATGGAAAAATCCTTGAGAGGAGCGCTATGCTGCGCGAATCCGGAATATCGGGCTCGTGAAGCCAAAAAAAAAGAAAAAGAGTGTGTCATAAGAATTTAACAGCTAATTAAGAGTAGATGGAGCACATTGGGGTACCATTGAATAAGTTTGTCAAATATGTGGTGGAAAAGAGAAAAGATAATCCAGTATGTGAGTAGCTTTCTCATGTGATACTTGGAGTCAGTCTGAATCGCCCGGATTGAAGCATATCTGAAAGAATTGGTGAACATTAAAAGCTGAAGCAAAAATAGTTGAAAGGAAAGTGAGACTTACAGAGGATATCCCAGAGCGAGTAGGGGCCTGCAAAATATATAACAACTTGCGTGAATCATGCAAATATGTACTAAAAAGTTAAAATCTTGTTCCTTTTTGCTACTCTACTTAACAAGATTCAATTTTTACCATTAATGGAGAAAGAGATCAAGTGAACTTACCAAGCCAGGAAATCCATTAATATTTGAAGAGTAAATATGAGAAAACCCATCATCACACACAAATTAGTAAGCCCTTTCTTCTCCACTAAGTATTGTAATAACAACAAATCCCTACTGCATGCAAAATTGACCCCTCTTTGTTAAATAAGCTTTTACAGGCCCTACGTCTTTTACGCCACTCGCTTAATTTGTTCTTTTTTAAAGGAAAAACATCCTACTAATTGACAATAGATTTAAGCATCTTTAACAATGAAGGATAACGTTTACTTTACTAATACGAATTAATTAATGTTTATTTATGCCTTAGTTTTTGTCATTCTTTCTGCCCAACTTAACTAGGACTCTTATGTATAAATATAACAATGTATTTTTTATTTAATACAATACACCTATAACTTTTACAAGGGCCGGTTCAAAGAAATTGGTGGATATATGAGGCTTTAAATTTATCTAATAAAACTTTACATATATATATATATATATATTAAAAATCTATAAAGATGATATATGGTCATTTTATACCTGTCTTGATTATCCACTCTACTCTCTCAAACTTAAATAAGAAATATATACTACTAACTGTTACTAAGGTCTGCGTACACTCTATTCTCCTCAGACTCCACTTTATGGTATTTCTTCGGGTATGTTATTGTAGTATTTTAAGGACATGTCTCACGAATGATTCAATTCTAAAATCCAATTTGGATTAGAAGTTAGAATTTGATCAAGAGGGAAATATTTTTCAAGAAATTGCGAAACAGAACATTTTCTTTATAATAGGAAAGTTGTTTTCCATAAGTGACATTCCATGATAATTATCTCCTCCTCGCTCCTCACTTCCAACCCTCAAACTCCCAGCGTGCCCGACCACCCTCCTCCAAGCTCAATCCCATAAGAAAATGTTTTCTGAATAAGCCATAATTCCCTCCGAATCTAATTTCATCATTTCTTTTGGTATTGAACAAACTAGTTGGTCACATTTACAAATTCTTTCGAGCTTTTATGGTTTGAAATGATAAAGTTACACCAGAAAAAATTGTAACTTATCGAGGCAGGTAAAAATTTAATCTATATTGGAGAAAACTGAGTTCGATTTACTACTAAAACTGCCCCATGTTTACTTGGAGCAAACTAATGTATATTTAAACACTAATTTAAGTTGGAATAATATCTCAGTCAAAATCAGTTCAATGGGCCTTTGCCTTGAGAATATAATTAAATAAACGGAAAAGAGTCTAAAACGGAGAGCATTTTTGAATCAAAGTATAAACATTTTTTATATATTTCACATAGTTTAAGGACATTCTTTTTTATCCTTTTCCATTACATAAATATTAATAAAAGTGTGATCTCAAAAATAGCTTAAGCTTTAACATGAAATGGTCACACAATTCAACATATTTGGAGTCTTTTCCAGCTAGATATTTTGTCCTCGAGGAAACAAGTGATACAGGACACAAGTACACAAATCAGATTTATTGTCCTGTCCAGACTGCAATCAAGCTAATGTCCATGTTTATCAATATTCTGATGCAAAATATGTTTAGTACAAGCTAGCTCACTTAAAGATTCTTTGCTTCTATCAAATTCAACTTTTAATCCATGTTCGAATATATCACTGATCGCTCAAGAGATTTATTTAAGAACGGAGTACGTATTTTCACTATTTAATGTAAACTTTGAACGAGAGTTGTTGATTCATTCAATCATCTTCATAACAGTACAAATAATAAAGAATACGAAGAGCAAAAACAACACACTGCTATTGAAAGATTAAATGCAGGAAATATCAACGTGTGTACAGAAGTGATGCGGAAGGCGAAGATGCTGCAGAAGCTGCTGTGTTATTTGAAGAACCAGTGTAGTCTCTAGTCCCTGAAGACTGTATTCCAGATATCCCAGGACCATTGGAGTCGTATGGTGATGCAAATGAAGTAGTTGATCCATAACTGCAATATGTCGGCACAGGCATGTTTGGAGGGAGTGTGGGCAATGGAGCTTCAAAATTAAGCACCTGAATTGCTTGCCTAATGGAAGGCCTGCAATTGTTATCTGGATGAGCACACCATAAGCCAACAATTAGCAAGTGCTCCACCTCCTCTTCATTGAACTCTGATGAGAGTCTAGGATCAACTGCTTCACTAAGATTTCCCATCCCGTAAAGTCTCCAAGCCCATTTTCCTTCCACAACCTATTTCTAACACGACAATACCAAAGCTATAGACGTCGGTTTCCTTGTTAGCTTTGCCAGTGGTGACACATTCAGGAGCCATGTAACCCATTGTGCCTGCCAAAACTGTTGTTTGGGATCCCTTATCATGGTCAACTAGCCTAGCTAAACCAAAATCCCCAAGTTTAGCATTGAAATTGGAATCCAACATAATATTGCTCGACTTTATGTCCCTATGCACCACACATTGTTCCCATTCTTCGCGTAGATAAAACAACGCTGAGGCCAAGCCTTGAGCAATCTTGAATCTTATTGGCCATGTCAAATGGCTTTTTCCCTTGAAAAGATGGTGGTCTAAGCTTCCATTAGGCATAAACTCATAGACAAGTAGAAGTTCTCTTTTTTGATGGCACGAACCAACGAGTTGCACCAAATGTTTATGTCTTAACCGGCTGATAATCCTGACTTCTGATGCATACTCTTTTATTCCTTGCTTTGACTCCCTTGAAATCCTCTTAACAGCAATATAGGAGTCATATTCCCTGAGATATCCTTTATAAACACCTCCAAACCCACCCTGCCCAAGCATCTCTTCCCGCGAAAAGTTATTTGTACATCTAGCCAACTCACCATACAAAAACTTCTTTGGTCCTGTGTTTCTTTCAAATTCATTAGTCATGGAACCATCAATTATATCTTCATCTTCATCTTCTCTGACCTTCCTCTTTCTCCAAAATGCAAACAATATAAAAACAGATACTGCTACTGAAACACAACCACCAGAAATCAATCCAATCACTAGTCCTGACTTATTTTTGCTTGGAGTATCTTCTGGCACAGGGCTTGGTTGGGGTACATCTGGATCTGTTATGTTTTCATTATAGTTTAAAGAAGAAGTGAAATTCCAAGAATATATGGTTTGTATTGCAAAGTAGGTTCCTGTTGCACCTGAGAAGCCAAAAGTGACCCATTCTGGCAAATATTCCCTCAGATCAAGATTGTAAGATAGGGTCTGCAGGACAGTGACTGTGGTATTCTCTTGTGGTTGAAAACCAGTGAAGACAACACTAAGATTTTTTGAGGTTGAATTATAAGTAATCCAGGCATCAGTTCTCGTACCATTCGGAATATTACTAAACCAGGTCACATTAACAATAGATACCATGTAGTTGATGTCGATGCCTACATGATCACCTGGTGGATCATCAATGTTCTTAAAGGTGTCAAACTCGACAGCAACAAAAGATTGATTTCTTGATGTATTTTGTCGACTATAATAATTTGCAAGGCCAAGGCCGCCTCCTGCGGTTGAGTTATCAGTAATTCTTGAATCTGCAGGGGCGAGGAAAAAGGCAATTCCATCAGCATATATGTTCATGCCCTGTGAATTTATGCTAAAGGAGAAGTGTGTAGTGAAATCTGTGACATTCCCAGAGGCCTTGTCCCAAAGATGGAGTGTTTTTGAATATGTGGCTCGGCCTATGCTATAGTTTGCACCACTATCGCGCTGGTTTTTGGTGAGCTGAATTACACCATTTGCTGGATAAGCATCTGCCTCATATGTTACATTCTGATCATTGGGATTAAAACTATCAAAATTGAAGGACAGTGATGTGACAAAGGGGATTATCAAAACAAGGTATGTGAGAGCAGATAAAGATGCAAAAATAGCCATAGTTAGAGAAATGTTTTATCAGATTGCTAGACTACTGAATATATCCCTTTCATTTTCTCATCTTTTCAAGTGCAGAATAAGGAGTTGGTCAATTTTTTTCGTCAGCAAAATATTACCATTTCATAGCAAAGATAGTAACAGGATAGTTGAAATTGATAAAGTCCTAATTTTAGAGGAAGCAACAAGTATTCTTTATTCCCTAATAAAACATAAATTCAAGAGTCAAATATTGATGAGAATAGTATAACAATCAAGTCATTTTACAATATTGAAATATTATCATATCCTAGGCAAACCTCTAGAGTATTATAACATGTTCATCCAATTCTGTGGGAGATAACAAGAAAACATGGTCCTTAATCTCATAAGATTGTTTCGAAATACCTTCACTGGTACATCTACATAATTAATGTTCAGATTCCTCCATAGGATTTTGGGATTTCAAACTTTCAATTGGATCAGGAAACAATTCTTAATTTATTGGATTAAACATTTTGTAAAGAGTCTCACTTTCATTTATTACCCTTTTGAGGAAAATTATTTTCTAGAAATGTGACATCTTGTGATTCAATTTCAATAGTATTTTCATTCTCCAATTCATCAATAGAACATATCTTTTGAAGTGTTCTAAGTATCTTATAAATACATGTTTCTTCCTTTTGAACTCAGTTTACTGAACTCACCAAAATGAATTTGAAAAAAGTGCAGGACCAAAGAAGTTCTTGTACAGTAAGTTGGCTAGATGTACAAATAACTTTTCGCAGGAAGAGATGCTTGGGCGGGGTGGGTTTATAACAGATATCTCAGGTAATACAATTCCTATATTTCTGTTAAGAGGGCCTCAATGGAGTCCAAGAAAGGAATACAAGAGTATGCATCAGAAGTCAGGAGACATAAACATTTGGTGCAACTCATTGGCTAGTGTCATGATGAAAGAGATTTTCTACTTGCCTATGAGTTCATGCCTAATGGAAGCTTGGATACCCATCTTTTCAATAGAAAAATCCATTTGACTTGGCCAATAAGATACAAGATTGCTCGAGCCTTAGCCGTTGTTATATCTACACGAAGAATGGGAAGGATAGGTGGTGCATAGGGACATAAAGTCGAGCAATATTATGTTGGATATTCGTACTGATTTAATTGCTAAACTTGGAGATGGGAACAACATATGCTTACAGCTATGGTGTTGTCTCATTAGAAATAGCTTGTGGATGAAAGCCTACCGATCATACAACTGAAGATCATCAAGTAAACATTGTTAATTGGGTTTAGGGACTTTATGGGATGAGAAATCTTGGTAAAGTAGTTGATCTTAAACTATCATCCAAGTTCAATGAAAAGTAAATGGAGCACTTGCCAATTGTTGGCTTATGGTGTGCTCATCTGGAAAACAATTACAGGCCTTCTATTAGGCAAGTAACTCATGTCCTTAATTTTGAAGGTCCATTGCCTGCCCTTCCTCCTAACAAGCCTGTGCCAACATATTGTATTTCATCACAATATCTACCACCATATGATACCGATTGTCCTGAGATCACCCATGCTCGATGATATTAAATGAATACACACAATACTGATTCTTCATACAACACAGCCTCTTCATCTTCATCTTTAGTAGCACTTTTGTATGCACGTTGATGTTTTCCATAAAATCAGTTCAATGGGCCTTTGCCTTGTTGAGAATATAACTAAATTAATGATAAAAGTGCGCTCTCAAAAATCGCTTAAGCTTTTAGATGAGATGGTCACACACTTCTTGAACATGTGTCTTTTCCAGCTAGATATTTTGTCCACGAGGAAACAAATGATACAGGATGTAAGTACACAAATCAGATTACAATTAAGCTCAAGAGACATGTATTTAGGAAAAGAGTATTTACACTATTTAATGTAAACTTTGAACAAGAATTGTGATTCATTCAATCATCTTCATAAAAGTAGAAATAATAAAGAATACATAGACCAAAAGTTGGACACTGCAATTGAAAGATTGAATGCAGGGAAATAAAAGACCTGTTCATTTATAAGACAATATCAACGTGTGTACAAAAGTGATGCGGAAGGCGAAGATGCTGCAGAAGCTGCTGTGTTATTTGAAGAACCAGTGTAGTCTCTAGTCCCTGAAGAGTGTATTTCAGATATCCCAGGACCATTAGAGTCGTATGGTGATGCAAATGAAGTAGTTGGTCCATATTGTGGCAGACTGCAATATGTCGGTACAGGCATGTTTGGAGGGAGTGTGGGCAACGGAGCTTCAAAATTAAGAACCTGAGTTGCTTGCCTAATAGAAGGCCTGCAATTGTTATCTGGATGAGCACACCATAAACCAACAATTAGCAAGTGCTCCACCTCCTCTTCATTGATCTCTGATGAGAGTCTAGGATCAACTGCTTCACGAATATTTCCCATCCCGTAAAGTCTCCAAACCCAATCGACAATATTTACTTGATGCTCCTCAGCTTTAGGATCAATAGGTTTCCTTCCACAAGCTATTTCTAATGCGACAACACCAAAGCTATAGACGTCTGTTTCCTTGCTAGCTTTGCCAGTGGTGAGACATTCAGGAGCCATGTAACCCATCGTGCCTGCCAAAACTGTTGTTTGGGATCCCTTATCATGGTCAACTAGCCTAGCCAAACCAAAATCCCCAAGTTTAGCGTTGAAATTGGAATCCAACATAATGTTGCTCGACTTTATGTCCCTATGCACCACACATTGTTCCCATTCATCGTGTAAATAAAGCAACGCTGAGGCCAAGCCTTGAGCAATCTTGAATCTTATTGACCATGTCAAATGGCTTCTTCCCTTGAAGAGATCGTAATCTAAGCTTCCATTAGGCATAAACTCATAGACAAGTAGAAGTTCTCTTTTTTGATGGCACCAACCAATGAGTTGCACCAAATGTTTATGTCTTAACCGGCTGATGATCCTGACTTCTGATGCATACTCTTTTATTCCTTGCTTTGACTCCCTTGAAACCCTCTTAACAGCAATATAGGAGTTGGATTCACTGAGATATCCTTTATAAACACCTCCGAACCCACCCTGCCCAAGCATCTCTTCCCGCGAAAAGTAATTTGTACATCTAACCAACTCACTGTACAAGAACTTCTTTGGTCCTGTGCTTCTTTCAAATTCATTAGTCATGGAACTGTCAATAATATCATCTTCATCTTCATCTTCATATTCTCTGACCTTCCTCTTTCTCCAAAATGCAAACAATATCAAAACAGATAGTGCTACCGAAACACAACCGCCAGAAATCAATCCAATTACTAGTCCTGACAGTTTTTTGCTTGAAGGATCTGGATCTGGATCTGGATCTGGGGTTGGTAGGGATACATCTGGATGTGGCACAGGGCTTGGTAGGGGCACAAATGGATCTGTTATGTTGTCATTATATTTTAAAGAAGAAGTAAAATTCCAAGAATAAATGGTTTGTAATGCAAAGAGGGATCCTGTTGCACCTGAGAAGCCAAAAGTGACCCATTCTGGCAAGTAGTCCCTCAGATCAATATTGTAAGATAGAGTCTGCAGGAAAGTGACTGTGGTATTCCCTTGTGGTTGGAAACCGGTGAAGACAACACTAAGATTTTTTGAGGTTGAATTATAAGTAATCCAGGCATCAGTTCTCTTACCATTTGGAATGCTACTAAACCAAGTCACATTAACAACAGATACCATGGAGTTGATGTTGACACCTACATGATCACCTGGTGGATCATAATAGTTCTTAAAGGTGTCAAACTCAACAGCAACAAAAGGATGATTTTTCGATGTATTTTGTCGACTATCAATTGCAAGGCCAAGGCCGCCTCCTGCGGCTGACTTCTTATCAGGAATTCTTGAACCTGCAGGAGCGAGGAAGAAGGCAAGACCATCAGCATATAAGTTTTTTCCCAGTGAATTGATTCCAAAGGAGAAGTGAGTAGTGAAATCGGTGATATTCCCAGAAGCCTTGTCCCAAAGATAGAGTGTTTTAGAATATGTAGCTCGGCCTATGCTATCGTTTAAACCACTACCCTGCTCGTTTTTGGTGAGCTGAATTACACCGTTTGGATAAGCATCTGCCTCATATGTTATATTCTGATCATTGGGATTAAAACTATCAAAATTGAAAGACAATGAAGTGACAAAGGGGATTATCAAAACAAAGTATGATACAGATGCAAAAACAGCCATAGTTAAACAAATGTATGTTGCTACACTACTCTATAATGTTTTTATATTTTCAAGTGCAGACTCAAGTTTTTCGTTGCCCAAAATATTACCAATTCAAAGCAATGAAGTTCTTCTTTTCTCATCATACGCTAATGAATTGACCAATTATTTTTTAGAAATAAAGTATTCTGGAAAGGGAGTGGGGACATGCTTTAGCAGATCCATAATTGTCACTACAACTTGCAATCTTTTGAAAGTCACGACACATCCAAAATTTAAAATATGTATATTTCAACCCGCAAATGCTTTAGCAGATCCATAATTGTCCCTACAACTTGCAATCTTTTGAAAGTCACGACACATCCAAAATTTAAAATATGTATATTTCAACCCGCAAATGTATATATTTTATTACTTATATATATATACTATAGAAGAGACTACAAGGAGGCACGACTTCGTCAACCCGTCTGCTTGTAGTCAGGGGTAGTTTGGTAATTTAAATTTTAAAAATCTTTTTTTATCTATTATCACTATATATATTAAAAATTATGTAAAAAATATTATGAATCGTAATAATTAATAGCTTGAAAAGATTTGAAAATATATAAAAAGATTTCGTTAACTCTCAAAATTTCATCTATACCACATAAATTGGGATAAAGAGAGAGATATTATATATCACAATAATTAATAACTTAAATATCAAAAAGAATTTATAAAAAAATTGATTGACTTTTGAAATTTCATTTGTATCACATAAATCAACACAAAAGGAGTAATATATATTATGTGAAAAATACGTAAAAAATACTATAAATCACAATAATTAACAACTTAAAAAATCTCTCTCTATATATATATAAAAAAAAAACTTCAACAGTGCCAAAATGCCCTATTCCTTGAGTCACTGGAACCGCTGACCCCACTTACAAGAACCCCCGTACTTCTTGATAATACAGACTGAAGCAGAGAAGAAACAGAATGTTGGTCTGATGGTAAAGTACCCAGTAGAAGGTAAGCCTGGGAAAGACCACAAGAAGCTGGAGAAGGGACAGGCCTCGTCAACTGAGTTTTCTAATGAGCTTTCTTTCAGAAGGCTTGGTTTCCGGAAAATGACCTGATGGAGGAGTCTTGATATTGGTTGGTTTGAGGTTTCGTTAGTTTTATACTAACAAGCAAGCTTCGGCAACCACTCGACCTAGCGCGTTAGCCCCAGTACTATAGAGAAGGCCTATGCGAAGAAAAGGCCTGCCCATCAGCTTTGGTTACAAGCAAAGGCTTCTCCAAAGGCGCTTTCAGAAGCCAGCCAGTCAATTAACAAGTTCCGGGACTTTCACTGCTCATTGGTGAGCGCAAAGGAAGCAAGGCCATGCGCACTAAGGCTCAGAAAGTTACCAACTGACTAAAGACAGAATCCTGAGTGTGCCGAGTGCGTATCCCCTGAGTACGATGCCCTTGAGCTCCTTATAAGGTTCTGGAAAAAACTTCCAATAGACACTCCACTTCTTTTGTAGGAAAATCCCCTTCTCTAGTCTTGGGAAATTGAGCGACGCATCCACATAAGCACAAGAATTTTGTTCTTTTGAAAAAAAATTTGTTGACTCTAATAGATAAAAGCATGTTAAGAAATTGGTTAACTTCAAATTCAACATATATCACATAAATAAATTAAAACAAAAAGAGTAACATATATTGGGCCCGTGCTGACACGGAATCCGTATCTAATTTAATTATAAGTGTTCAAGAGGAATCGAAACCTCATCAAGGAGGGGAGGGCAACAAATATAAGCAGATCTCATTTTTGTCATTGGATCAAAAGCTTACACTATTATTGAGTTCTCAATAAATAGTGTGGGTTAAATTTAAGTGTTTTTATATATATTTCATGAATGAGTCAAGTTTAAGCGTTATATAATTATAGAAGGATAAAAAAAAAATACATAAATTATTCTTTTTTTAGTTTCAAACTTAAACTATTAAGAGTCTGAGTTTCATACTAAATTATTGAGAGTGTGAGTTTCATACTAAACTATCACTTATTAGTTTGAGAAACACACCTCTCTCTTTTATTATACTCTCATCATAGTGTGTGTAATACAGTCTCTCTTTTATTTAAAAAATAATTGTTACATCACACTCCACATGGACAAAATATTTCACCTTGATAAAAATTAAATAAATTATTAGTATTAATTAAAGTTCGGGATTAAATTATTATTATTCACCCCAAAAAATTATAAAATAAAATGTAAAATATTTTTCTTACCCCAGTCCGCCAGTTCCTCTCACCATACAACCTACCCCAATTAATTTATTTATTTTAAAAATATATATATATTTTAAAAAAATTCCTACTTCATCCCTTCAAATAATAAGTTAGTTATTATTTTTAGATATCTAATAAGTGATAGTTTAGGTATGAAACTCAAACTCTCAATAATTTAAATATGAAACTAAAAAAGAAAAGAGAAAAGATATAAAGTAACCATTGAAGTTGTCCCGAATTTTCAAAAATACACCTTAACTTTGCAACTGCTCTATTACCCCACAAAACAATTTTGAACATATATTATTATATCATTTTTCGATCAGCCCCAGATTTTAAGAAGCAAGTGTGTTCACACACCAATCATTACATGACACGTGTTAATTTAATTTAAAATGTATTTTTTTTTCATTTCAAGTTTTTTCTTTTTCTTTATCTCTCTCTCTCTTACTTTTTGACATATTTTAATTTTGATTTCATCTTTCAGCCCCCACTCTCAAGTGATCCATTCCTCCATTTTCTTTCTAATTCTTCACTTCCCACCCTCACCCCACCCCCCACGTCAAGTTGAATCCCTCTCCCATTTTTCTTTTCTTTTTCTTCTTCTTCTCAAGTCAAAATCTTTATTTTAGTGACTTTTTAATAAAAACGAATTCATACTATTTTCTAGACTTTATTGAATTATTGATAACAAAACTAATTATTTTTCTAAGAAAATTTAAAATTTTGAAGGTATCATCAATTATCCTTTTCATATAACTTCAAAATTAGAAATGATAATTTTAAAAGAATCAATGAATTCCCCGAAAATTGAAAGAACTTAATCAAAATCGGATAAAAAAAACTATATGATACTTCCTAATCATCTTGAAATCTAATGGGTTTATCAAATTGTTCGAAATGTAAGAAAATATTTAGATAAAGTTTTAAACTTAAAGAGAGTAAAACTAATAGTAGTAAAAAAAAAAAAGGGTGAAGTTGTAGTAAAAATGGTGACATTGAAAGTGAAAAACTTCAATGGAGATGACAATGAATTTTTGAAGAAGAAAGAAGAAAGAAGGAGAAAAAATAAAAAGGAAAAAAAGTTAAAATAATAAGATTTTATAATATCAGTTCAAGATTATTTAGTGGGGTAATAAGACGCCTGCATAGTTAAGGTGTCTTTTTAAAAATTCGGGACAAGTTCATGTGTCACTTTATATCTTTTCTAAAAAAAAAGGAATAGTTTAAGTGTGTTTTTGACATTTACCTCTTATTTAATTCATGATTTTTCAATATAAATACAAGATTTAATTAAAAAAATATTAGATTTCTCGGAAAAAAAAACCACACCCAAATCCACCACTAATAAGAAGAAAATGAAAGTGTTGAAATAATATGCTAGAGTAAATGACATAAATGGTACCTAAACTATTACACTACGTGTAAAATAATCCCTTAAATATACACATAACGAATATAGCCCTTTAACTATCCACAATCTTGTCAAGTTTGGTCTATATCTATTTTTTTTTAAACTGTTAACAAACACCGTTAACTAACATTCTAATTCAATTTCTATCTCCTGACTTTCTTTTTTTCCACTTCTTTTCTCCATTGTCTCTCTATTTCCTCACTTTTTTTTTTCAATTCTTTTCTCCATTGTCTTACTGTAATTGTGTCGTCGGTCGTTATTTTATTCAAGTTAAAGCTAAATGCAAAGTAACGAACACAATTGAGGAAATATTGTAAGCAAAAAATATGATTCTATTTTCATGTTAATAATCAGTCATTACATCAATGAAACTGCCTAGAATTGCAGAAAAATTTAAAAATTAGCAATTAAACTGAACAATAATACCCTGTTTTCAATAGTTTTTATGTAGAAAATAGCTTAGAACTACAAAAAAAATATAGCAGCTATCAAACTTTGATCAAATTGCAGCACCAAACTGTACATAACACATCGCTAGACAACAACATCAAACCATAAAAAAAATCAACACCAAACTGCACAAAAAACAACTCCAAAAACATCACCAAACTGCATATTAAATAGCACCAAACTTCTGCACAGACAGCAGCACTACACTAAAAATCAGCACCAAACTGCACAATACTCTGATAGTAGAATCATTGTCTTGAACTTTCAATAATGGTGAAATCTGAAGAAATGAATCTAGGGTTTTCTTTATTGTAGCGACAATGAAGAAAAGAAGAGAGAAAAAGAAAATCTCGAGAGAGAGTAGCTGAATTACGACGTTTGTTAATTATGTGTATAAAAAATAGATACAAATCAAATTTGACAAGATTGTAGATAGTTAAAGGACTATATCTGTTAAGTGTATACTTAAGGAATTAATTTTAAATTTAAAGTAATAGTTTAGGGACCATTTATGTCATTTTCTCTAATATTCTACAATGTTATTTTTTCTTGGCACAGTACTGTCAATAAATGCAGAGTGGGGATTATTCTACAATATCATGTTTTTCTCCAATTTTGAGGGTATACTGTTGTGATATGTACGCATAAAGTAATATTCCTTCTGCTTATTTTTATTTGTCACTGTATAACTTGTCATACTATTAAGAAAATAATTATTGATATAAGTATTTTATCATACCACCTCTATTAATTAATGTTATATATTAGATTTTTAAAAATAATTTCGGAGAATAATATTTAATGTTAAGGACAAAATATGGAAAAAATAATTGTCTTTTCTTATATGTCAAAAAAGTAAAAATAAAAATATATTTTAAGAATAAATGACAAATAAAAATGAACAAAAAAAGAGTAATTATGAAGTGTATACTCGTACGAGATGAAGAGTCACATTAATGCTCCCAAATAAAATATCAACGGAGAAAAGTTATCTTTTTTCCTAGAAAATAGCCAAATGTCCCCTAAACTATGACCATTTGTTTTTATTATATATATATATTACTT